TAAGCAGAGTATAATTGAAACTCCTTCATAAAACTTCTCCACTCCTCAGGTTTTTTCAATGATTGTGATTTGAATTTCTTGACAAAATCACTTGCCTTGGCAAGGAGCTTATTCACTTCCTGTTTGGCATTTGAATTTGTCATTGTATCTTTTATTATGTTAACCCTAAATAGGGGTAAGAAATGCTTTAATGCCTCAATGGTGTTTTTTGAGTTGATGTCTTTCAAGCTGATAATCTTATCAGCTGCTTCTTCAAACTTTCCATGTGAGCATAGTTCTTTAACAACAGAGAAATAATCACCACTCTTCTCATAAACCTCCAACAGCTCTTCTGGTACATGGTCTTGTAGAAGCTCCATTCTTTCCTCTTGTGTAGGAAGAATATCAAGAGCCTTTTGATTCATCTCTTTGTCATTTTCTCGACGATAATGAATGTTTGCAAGACGGGAAATGCGGTTAAATGTATTCTCATCAATTTCTTGTTTGTATCTTGTTAAATAATTTAGACAATTGTCAGATTATCATAAGATTTACGATCCTCAGTAAAAAATTAAATTACGTTAAAAATTTTTCTGATGATGCTACAATTATTTTTATAAACTATAATAAATTAGAAATGGTAGGATCTAGAAATATAATGCTAATATGTAGTTATCTGCAAAAAATATTTGAAATCGCCAAATTGATTTCTAAATATGCCTAACCCATCCCAACTCACCAATAAAATTGCAGTTGCGGATACTTTCTGCGAATAACTACTACTACATGGTTATGGATATAATTGTTATGAAAATATACAAGAACGAATTCAAAACATATCTTGATCGAAATCTAAAATCTCTATTAATTTGCATCAAATTGTTTAGGGTATCACAACAATGAGCTTACCTTTGCATCAAGCTAATTACTTCTGCATCAAAAGCTTCAGTATACTTCTCTGCCTTTTGGAAATTATTACCCGCTTTGTCCCATTTTTTGGCTTTAAGGTAACAACCAGCAGCAAGCTCAAACATATTCCATTTTACAAGCATGTCACCGGCTTCTTCATGCATGTTGATATCCTGAATGTTTGTAGATTTTTAAATTAGTATTTAGATGTGATTAATTTTTTAAAGTCACTATTTGATATCATCCCGTTTCTGAAATTTTAAAATACCAAGAATGAACAAAGATTTTACCTGATAGCATGAAGCTACTTGGATTGGCCGTGAACACATATTGAAGGCCTCGGCAGCACGAGCGAAATTGGATTTCATAATGGCATCATCAAAATCATGTATAGAAGTTCTGGCAACCTGCTGAAAGTAATATGCTTTTGCTAGTTCGTGGTTCTCTTTATTCCCGCTTTTCTTAAAGCAGAGAAACGCCTTAAAGTGATTTGATTACATTTAGTTAACGCGGTTCATTGCATGATAGCAGAATATCTCAATTTGATTTTTACCTGTTCATATTGCTTTTGTCCAAAAAAGACCTTTCCTTTTTGATCCCATTCATATGAACTGCTTTTCTTGGCCAAGGAAGGCAAATCTTCAATACCATTTACATTCTCAATTACTTTGACCAGCTCACGATGCTTCCAATACATACGAATTGGCTTGCTCCACTCAGAGTTTTCATCATATATCCAAATTTGCTGCCGTGCCCTTTTCACTGCAACATAAAGATGTTTGAGCTCTGAGGAAAGGATATAATGTTTTTCGTAAGAAAAGTCAAAAGCAGAGTGGATTGCTTGCCACTAGATGTGTACACATATGATTCAAGAATTATTAAGTGACTGATAAGATGTGATCCAAAACAGAATACATAATATTTTTACCTTTGATTGTGCAGGTGATTCAGTGAAGAAATTATACAACAGCACATCATTAAACTCCATGTCCTTGGACTCAAACACCGTTAATATCAATACAAAAGCATTACCAATTTTTTTCTTCACGCGCTGTCTAGTTTCATCGTCACGTACAATAATGACCTGCTCAGCACCAAATTCAATGTTATTTTCCACATTCTCACCTACAGAGAAGACATGGGAAAAGAATGTTTCAGCCTCAAACCCGTTGAAGACAATAGGTCGAGGACCATCAACTTCGCCACATTCACGTAGCTGGTCAATGGAATCAGGAAAAAAGTGAGAAATAAGATCGATCACTGATGAAGCAAGTTTAAGGATACCATTGTGTGAACGATAATTAATATTCATTTCAAACTGTTCTGGCTGTTTTGGTTTTTTTGATTTTTTGTTGTTAGGCCAACGGTGGATAAGATTAGATCGATCAAGTTCCCAATTATATAACAAAGCCTTCAAATCTATATTAAGATTAAACCATTGTCATTACAGTTATTAAAAGAAGGACCATGTGGGGGTAATTATTTATATAACCATCCTTACCTTGAAATCGGAAAGATGAACCCTTTGCAATACATTGTGATATATCTCCAGCCAAAAAAATGCTGTCAGCACGTTCAAAAAGTTTTAAAATGAGTGCTAAATCTACAATGTTGTTGTCTTGACATTCGTCAATATATAGTTCATGAATATACAATCCACCAAGTGGTTCTGCTTTGGCACAACGTAAGATAGAAATAGTCCTAAAAGAAAAGGGTTGAAGATTTTATCAAAAAACAAAAATTATGTATTATCTGAGACCACTTACATATCTATTGAGTCATAGTCGAAATTCTGGGACTTTTTTTTTTGGTATTGTTGAAATAAGTCATAAATTTCATCACGATTTGAACGAAATGCTGGGTATTTCTTGGTGCTGATTTTCTGATATTCCTCTCTTAATAGGTGTATACCCTCCGGATTAGAACCCTTAAGAAATTTGAAATAGAACATTATATGCTATGAAGTTTCTCTACCTTAACAGTTAACTAATGGTATAAATCTTACAACATTATGTAGGACTACAGTTAAATTGTAGCAAACAAATTTAAACTAACAAAATCAAAATAACTGTAATCCTATAAACTGTTAAATCAATTCATGATGCATATGTAGGTATTCTAGATATAGTTACATACCTTGATAATAGCAAACTCAGAGAATACCAGTTCACAATCAAATCTTTTCCTATAATAATCATTGAAATGAGGCCAATATTTATTTGCAAAGAGTTTATAGTCTACAAAGTGCCTCCATGATACATCTGGCACACTACCAATAAAGTCTTGTTGGTGTAATTTCTCGTCATTATCATCTGTATGATTATCATTATCATTTGCATCAAATTTTGGTTGTTTGACTGGATTCTGAAAATCAATGCCATAAGTTCCCTGGAGCATTTGGATAAACTTTTTGTAGGTAATTATCAATGGAAAATGGTCATCTGTCAGTTGACGGAATGAATTTGGAATGTCATTCAACATATCTTCCTCTTCAAGCTTTGTGACATTTGTTGCATCAAAATTAGCATACTCATGAAATTGAGCTGCAGACATCTTTTCATTAGCAAATAATGCTGACTCTCGCAGCTTGTTGAAATGTTCCCTTACTCTGCAGCAAAGGTGTTCACTCGATGTAATGAATATTTGCCTTTTCTCATCATTGTCATTTGGAGATAATGTCTCCTCATTGTTGTTTGAAGATGATATCCCATTGAGTTGACTTTTCAAGTATGATGCAAGAAGTCTAAACAAAATACATGTGGTTTTGCCAGTTCCTAAGTATCAAATAGAACAAATAATGTTAGTTTTTTCCCCTAATTATAAGGGTATAACTAGATTTACCGGCACTAACCAGAACGACCAACAACAATTGCTGATCTAGGATGGTTGATAATTTCGTGCTCGATCTTAGATAATTGAAAATTAAGACCAGTGCCACCCTTGACAAGTGACTTAAACAAGTTCTGCAAGCAAGATTGTTTAACATCTGTTAAATCTTTAAATAGTAATAGTAATGATCTGTTCACATTCATACTCTACCTTTGATAATGGAACAAACTTATTTATGGTAAGCATTTCATGGATCTTCAACAAATTTTCATCACCAATTTGATTACTAACCAATCTGCTCTTGGTAGACCTTGTTACTTCTTCATTTCCAAAGGTTGCAGGTAAAATGATATTACTGATATGTTGGGATATGCAGCGGTTTTTATGCTCGGAAGTGTAGACTTTATGAAGTAATTCAGTATTTTTTAATGTATCTTTGATTTGCTCTTGGTTCGCAGTGACTGTCCAAACCTTCGCATACTGCATAAATGAATTGTTACGAACAGAAAATCCATAATCAACCTGCCAGAGAATTTTTAAGCCATCATTATCTGGAAGCTCCGTCTCATAAATAGGTATGATGTGAGAGTGAGATTGTACTGTATGTTGGAGACTGTATTTTTTCCATTTTCCACTTGATATCTGCATGAGTTTCACCATGACAGCATTGATCGCGAGAGGCTCCAACCCTCGCATATCTCTGATCGCGTAATCACTAAGTAGAACATCCCATGGACCAAGATCATCATCATTAAATTCAGATGGTAGGCGAAAAATTCCTTTGTTCATTATTTCAGTTTTTGCTTTTCCAATATTGTGAGTATATATAATTGCATATAACAGCGATAATATTTTCTGATAAATTTATTTCTTTTCAATACTTATAAAATATATTTTTGGAATACACCATCAGGAGCTAAAAGTTAATTCTTTTAATCAGGAATAAAATAAAACAAAAGCCGGAGAAACTGATAATTTTATTTACAACAAAGTAAAGTAACATATAATTTGAATGGTGTTAATGTTTGGAAGGAACCGGCAGGTGTCATTGTTTCTAATTAAAGAATGATCTTCAGAACAGATTATTATTATTATTATTATTTCTATTATTCAAAATGACTGTGCCTTTTTTGAAATTGCGAAGAAAACATAATGATTTAGAATTATTATTTGTCAAAGGAAATCGAAAGGAAATTGAAAAATTTTTTTTTGAAAAACAGAAGGCTTTTGATATTCTGTGCAAGAGAATAACAAATATTAACAGTTGTTGCATTTGGTGATGGTAAATTCTCATCAACATCACATGGGAATGCTCCAGGTCCTATAAAATAATTCACCAAGAGCTTTCTAGACACTGCAAGGTGGTGAGGGTTGGTGATTTCCATACTTCTTCGGTCTGTTCTTTGTTTGATGGGTGGTTTGATAAGCATCAAAAAATTCTGGCCTGTCTGACACATCGGAATTGAAGATGTTAATGCTGCCCATAACATAAGGAACATTTTTTTTGCACACAAACACTTATGGTGAAAGACCTGATCCATTTATAAGAGGATCTCTGCTGCCATTTCAATCATGACAGCTGATGGCACCAGCAGCAATGATAACTAGCTATATATAGGGAGGATTTGGATCTTTCTGATTTAGTGTAACAAGGTTTACTTGTTAATGGAATTAATTCATTGTACATAATTTATATATAAAAGAAACATTGACATAATAGATTACACTCAATATCAGAATACGATTTATTAAAAGGTGGTAAATATATTTATGGTACATTCTTTTTGTGAAATACTAACAATTCTAAAACATTTAATTTAAAATTGATAAAATAATGATAGTAATAATAATTATTTAAAAACAATAACATAATAAAAGAATATAAATTCAATCAACTTTAATCAACTTTTTTATAACAAATTGCGTATGGTCTAATATCTTTATCATCAGGAGAAATCCAATATTCAATCCCAACACCAATTTTAATTCTCTTCATAGTTTTAGGGTTAACTCTGTTTTGAACCACAATTAGATATTTGTGATTTCTAATTTCGAATGTTTTGGCAAAACGTTCAGCTATTTTGATATCAGGTGTTGAATAAATTCCATGGCCATATGCAAATCTTGTTCCTTTTGACAAATTATATCCATCCCGTGCAATACAATTTGAATTGTATTTGCCTGTGCCGTGATATGAAACTGGCCATTCATTAGTATTATGTTTACGTATACGATTATCATCAAACCCAATCCATTCATTATTACCATTATCATATTTATCTAAAACATTTAATCCAATTCTTTTCCATCCATAAGGTTTTTTATATTCAAATCCTCCTATATTTTGTTTAATGCCTTCATAATCAAAATTAAATTGTGGATCTAATAAATCTTTTCTCATATCTAAATTTGAAAAAATATTAACACTGTCCTTTTCTTTTTCTTCCATATTTTATAAACATAGTGCAAAATAACAGTAATAATAATAAAATTATTTTTTGTTTTATATATGTATATTCATTTATTTTATAAAAAGAAAATATAATGACGAATTACCTAAGTTCAAGATTTTAGGCAAGAAAATTTTAATCAAATCATCTCGCTTTAATAGAATTTCATCTCCATCATTATCACAACTTTTCAAAGAATCGTTACAAGTAATGACTTGAGTATTAGTAATTGCACTGAGAGCAGAAACGAATAACGAAAGATTATTGTTTGATGACATTTTAATAAATCAAATATTCGAAAATATTATTATTGTACCATAAATATCCGACCACCTGATGATCATTTTAATAATCGGAAATGTTACCCCTTATGCAGTTCAAAATTTTATTAATCAAACCGGGACTGATGCATTAAGTAAACATGTTTTTTAAAGTTAATTTGCATATAAACTTAAAGTCTCGTCGAGTTTGCATTATTAATGAATTTAGGATGAGAATTTTAAATTAGACAAAAAATTCCGTGATTTTTATGAAAACTTTGAGCTTAGTATTAGTAAAAGCCTTCAAAACTCCGTTGAATTATGGATTACGTCATTAAGTAAGTCCACTTAAAATACCCTGAATTATATATGGTTAAAATTTGAGAAAATTTGACCAAGTATAGATAACAAAACGTAAAGCCTTAAAAATTGCATTTTGTCAACTTTATAAAGTGTTTTATATAATAAAATTACGGGGTGGTCGGATACTTTTTTAAATCCTTTTCACGAACTAATTTATGTCAACACCATATTGTGGATATATGTAATCTGTTACGTTGAGCACATTTTATTAATGAAATAATATACATTACAATGAAGAAATTAACCTTTATTTTCCAATTGAAAATTTGCTTTTTTGGACTATTTGCTAAATGTTTCCATTAATACCATACCGAACCTTTCGAAGATTTTGTGATTTAGAGATTTTGATATCAAGTACAAGTCTACTTAATAAAGTAAAAACGGTTTTATTTAAGAAAACGTTACTTTTTTAGTAAGTACTCTTTTCATTTGTAGGTGGTCGAATGTTTATGGTAGGGGAGAGTACTACTTACCTCGGTTACGCATATCATATTAATAGCATCTTTTGTTGTTTCGGGACTTTTACTGTTGTTTCAGTTGAAGACATATCAAAAATGTCATTCCTTAAAGATATTATTTTTTTAAATAGGAATTCTTGGTCCTTATTAGAGTACCTAAATTATTGCAAAGATAAAGGATCATTCAAGAGAAAGATCAAAAACATTTATTCTACTTGAAATGTCCGGAACACTTGATTTTATATGCAAAGCATGTAGAAACAAGAAAATTTGCATTAGGTTGTTACACTTCCTTTAAGGTGAGTAACTTTCTAGTTGATATTTAATAGCATCAGAAAATTTTCCCCACTGTAATATTATGTCCATAAATTTTAATATGTAAAGTTGTAATATTTGCATAAAAAATTATGTAATATTTACACTCAATGTAATAATTGCATAATTTTTGTATGCTTATTTGCATAATATTACAGGGCCCACTGTAAACTTGTAAATAGTGTGATAATTACATAAATCCACATCAGAAAAAATTTCCTGATGTAACTGGTTTGATTAGTTAGGGGAACATAATGGAGACATAGTTGTTACCAATAGTGCTGTGCCAGTCAGGATTGATGGTGCTGTTTTGATTACTTGCATAGTTGATCTAGGAGGAAACATAGTTGATATCAACATGCTGTACTAAGGTTTCTGGTCCAAACTGTTTTCTCAGCCCAAACTAGTTTGGGAAATTTGGGCTTCTCAACATTTTTTATAAGCATGGACATTAAAAAACTATATGAATCAACTTGTTTTAACTTAAACAACTTTAAAATAATTTTGCCCAATTTCGGCTAATAACAAAAAGTAGTTTGGGTTTATAAAAAATAATTTTTGCCCAAAGTATTTGGGCAATTTCGGCTACTAATAGAAGCACTTTCGGCTAGAAACCTTATGCTGTACTGACAAGAACAAATGGTGTTGTTTAACTAGCAGACAAAACAGTGTTAAATCTATCAGTTAGTTACCTACTTACTTAAATTTGTCTGACAAGCTCTTTTTATATTTAGGCTGACTCTAAAGTAGTAACTATTACTGAGTTCTGGAATCTATTCAAATTAAATCAAAATAAAGCCATTAGGGTGGTAAGAAAAGGAACAATAAAAAAGATAATGATCACAACAACAAAGATGATAATAATCATGGTATTGATGATGATCATGAAAAAACAATGAATGAAATTATGAATGAATATTCTGCCTGACATTACTTGCAAAAATGATGATCCATATGGTTCTATTGAGAACGCCTTGAAGCATCTAATTTGTGTAATTATGAAACTATCTCAACCAACAAACAAGTAGAGATTCCGTACAACTTTCAATTCCGTACACTATTTTTTTTTTGTTCCGTACATTTTTATTTTTATTTTTTAATTTTGTACGGGACGGAATTTGTGAATTCTGAAAAGTTAATTGGTGGGGGCCAGTCTGTACAATCTTCGATTCCGTATTTTTGTTCCATGATTTACTACAGAGGCGCAGATGTACGAAATACGGAACCTGTATAAACTCAAACAACAACCACCACACAAGCATTATAATTTGTAAATGCATTTGATCTTACATTCCTATAAAAAATAACATATGGAATTTCCGTATGTCAAGTACGTTCTAAAAAAATGAATACGAAATTAACGTATTTATTATACGGTTTGAAAAGTTTGCCCTTTTTATTTTTAAAATTTAACACAAGGTACGGAATAGGTGCGGTACGTTTTTGTTTCCGCATAAAACATACGGAATAGGTACGGTCCATTTTGATTGCGTATAAAACATATGTAATGGATGTGAGTGAGTGATACGTTTTTGATTCCATGTATATAAACATTTTTTATTTCAAAATCAATCAATTAATTATAAATATTTAGGATTGCAGATCGTTATTAAAAAATTTTATAATGAAGAATTGAAATTACAGAAAGCTACCTTCTAAAATAAATACAAAGATAGGATGAAATAAAAAGTTGATCCAGGTATGCCATACTATATAATAGACAAAAATTTATAAGGCATCATTGTATTAGACGTTACGCGTTGTTTTTTTTTTTAATGATAATTATTAACTTTTTTCATAATCTAGTTCATTGAAAGTACACCCTGAAGTAAATAATGGTGTCAATATTTGGATGGCAAAGGAATTTAAAACTAATATTAACAACTTCAGAATTTATTAATACTGGTGTTTATTATTTATTATTAACTTGCTTTTGGGATTGTGTGATTGTGACATTTTTCATCATTTAGTAAAATACTGGTGACGATGATTGGATGGCAAATGAATGTTAACGATCTATTAATACTGGTGTTTATTATTTATTAACTTGCTTTCAGGATCATGTGATGATAATTTTTTTATCATCTAGTTCATCAAAGTACTCTGAAGCAAATATGGTGGCAAAATGATTGGATGGTAAAGGGAATTTAACAATATTATTACTTTCGAGATCATGTGATGTAAATTTTTTTATCCTCTAGTTCATCAAAGTAAATACTGGTGACAATGATGATGGTAAAGGAATTTAAACTATAACTTGCTTTCAGGATTGTGGGACAATGATTGGAATTTAACAATTTATTAATACTGGTGTTTATTATTTATTATTAACTTGCTTTTGGTGATAACTTTTCATTATCTAGTACTCTGAAGTAAATACCGGTGACAATGATTGGAATGCTAATAATTTATTAATATACCAATTAACTTTATGTCTACCAATACTGCATCCAATCATTATGAAGGTTACATTTATAATTGCAAATGATAGTTTTTATTATTATTTAATTCATTATAACCCAAATGTAAATAATTAATAAAATATTTAATATTTATGATAACATACTATCTATTTACAATAATAATAAAATATAGTTTCAATGCTATTTCCATATTAATATTAGTAGTGCTAGTACTATTCAGTATGCATTCCATACTTAAAATATGTAATTTCCGGTATGGGTTCAGTACCTTTCCAGTGATTCAAATACGTTTTAAATATGTAATTTCAGTATGGATTCAGCAACTAAAATACGTTATATTAATAAAGCAATAGATTTAATTAATAATTTTCCGTACTAATTCCGTACCAACTCCGTACTAATTCCGTACCAACTCCGTACCAATTCCGTACAAATTCCATGCCTTTTGTACACATGATTTATTATTTGAATTCCGTATGATTCATGCGATTTTATAACATATGTATTCAGTACCTTTTAGACGTCTTTTTTTTCATAGGGCTTCATCATAGGATTTACAGTGCGGATGAAATGTCCCACCTCTTCCTTTTCATCATTATTGGTTATATTTATAAAACCATTATTTGATTCATATGTATTATATATAATTCATTATTTTATTCTATTCATTATTTATTTTATATAATAATAATAATTTATCTTGTATATATAATATTTACCTTATAGATAATAAAAAAAAATTTTTTTTACCTTGTATATTCTATTTTAAAAAAGCATTTTGTTCAAATTGTATGAATTGAATTGCATCCAATTGCATATTATTAAATGAAAGAGCGTAATAAGAAATAATTTTAAAACGATTGAAAATTGATGTGGTACAATATAATTCCATACAAAATAATCATTGCATTAAATAGATAACAAACAATTAAGGAAGGGAGGGATAAAAATAATACAAAAATAAATAAGCTTTCTTTAACAAATCATTCATATATATATCTTATAAAAAACAAACAAGTGTCATATGAACACTTATAATTCTTTACCAAATTTTACTCCAGATTTGGATAACTCGTATGAGATTGTTAATCCCGTTGAAAATAAAATAATTCAAAAAAGTTTTATTGACGAGGAAGATGAAGATGATAATTTATCGTCAGGTAAAGATTATAAATTATTTTTTAAAATTTTATATAACATTTAACAAAATATTTATACAATATTTTTTAATAATCAAATATTGATAATAAAAGATGATGATTTGTCTACTACCTCATCTGAATCAAGCGATTACTCTGGAAAATTAATAGAGGGTAATAAAGCTGATACCCCTTCTCAGAGGATAGCCAAAGTTCGTGACTTTAAACGAAAAAACATTTCATCACTTACTTCATTCCGTGTTATATATATGGGAGAAGATGTACCAAATACTTGTAAACATGGTGTATTCTCTAAATTATGTGAAAGTCTTGGTCAATATTTTTTGGATGAAGT